CAGACAACCCCGTAACAATATGCGTTTTGTACTGCTGTTACACAGCACAAAACGCATAAAAATTAAGACTGGCCACTAGAACTGTCAGGAAACACCCCACTAAAATTTCAGCTTTCTAGCTTTTCTGGCTCCTAAGTTAGCAACACACTGGAAAAAACTTTCACGGGCCCATACGCAGGTACCACGCATACCCGATGTTTGGGTTTGAGCTCTTTGGGACTTACGTGGACGGGGAAGATTCTCTTAAAACTACAGCTTTCTAGCTTTTCAGGTTTTCGAGTTAGCAACTTACACGAGAAAAACTTTGAACCTGTGCGTAGGTACCACGCGTTCGCGGAGTCTGGGTTTGAACTCAATGAGACTTAGGTGAACGGGGAATATCCTCATAAAATCCATTAGCTTTTCAAATTCCCAACTTATTAAATTGCCCAAAAAAGATTTTGGCGGGCCTGTACGCGGGTATCACGCTTACCCGCGGGCTGAGTTTGAGCTCATTAACACCGACCTTAACGGGGAACATCCTCTTAAGATTTCAGCTTTCTAGCCTCTCTGATCCCCTAGTTATGAATATATCAGAAAACAAGTTTGGCTGGCCTCAACGCGGGTACCACGTTTACTCGGGGGATGGGTTTCAGTGCATTAATACTTGGACGGGGGACATCGCCCTAAGATTTCAGCGTTCTAGCTTCTCAGATCCCCGAGTTATAAACTTACCCCAAAAAAACTTCGGTGGGCCCGTACGCAGGTACCACGCGGGTGATAACGCCCATTTTGGGGTGGAGCTGGCACATGCATGTAGATCAAGTTCCCGAAATTTCAGCACTGCAGCTTTTCTAGGTCTTAAGACGAAAGTGCACACAGACACACAGACCCACAGACACACGGACACACAGACTACCCCTCGTCAATATGCGTTTTTGCATTGCATAGCTGCAAAAAACGCATAAAAACTAACAGCACCTGTATGATAGCCATAACGAACTCGGTGAATGTTCGAGCAATAAGCGCAGCTGATTTCAACGATCCACAAGTTACCAGGCCGACACAACTGATGCCACCCGTGAAGCAAACTAAAGCCATTCCGGCGTGCTCAGAGCTGAGAAAGCCAAGTGGAAGCAGAAAGACAGCGCACCCGACCATAGCCAACGTGTTGAAAAACTGCAGCTTACGCTTTTCCTGTAACATATTGTTGGCCAGCGCTCACTGATACCACGTTTTGCTAGACTGACGCTGTGACGCAATAACAGAAAGCAGTGCTTATAATGTCCTCCATTGTGCGCCACTATTTATTTTATGATTTTAAGCACACAAGCCTCCTAGGTCTGGAGCGATCAAGCTACGTGTTTCAACATCGGTGAACTTCTGATCCAAAAGTGCCACTTTTCCAATAAATTTAGAATTACTGGATTGCAGTAATAACTAATACCGGTCTTTTCGTAGCGATTCTATGATAGCAAGAGAGAGAACGGTTACCACAACAGACCCAATGGGATCCTTGTAAGGCTTCCAGATGCCAAAAACTGGTTGTCTTACGCAGTTCTTGTCCTTTTACTAATTTTACTGCCAAGTATACAACAAAACGCAAGGTCCGTTTTACAACCTGCAAGACTATTTTGGCAAGCCTGTGAGTGAAACCACACATGCCCTGCCGCGAAATGCAGGCGATAGCACCTCTCTGAGAAGCAACGGTCGCCCAAAGCAACTTACCGAAATGGTCATCTTATCGGACGCAACGCCAGCAATCATTTTCACTAACAACTGCACAGTAGGAGGTACGATTGCCGACAAGCCAGTCCTTTCGATTGGTACATTGAGGGCCTTGTTTAGATAAGTCGGCATAAATCTGCAACAGTTAACCTGTGACCCAGAAAACACGCATTTTGGCCGCGCATTTCATAGTAAAACTTGGTAACGACAGGCTGAACACCAGGCGGTGCTTGGATCGCTCAAAAGTACACAGCGATGAAGCGAAGGCTGACCAATGCATAATAAGCATCGCGACATCGACAGAAATCCTGTCTTCGAGGGCACCACTACTCTCGCTAAGGCACAGCAACACAGTTATCTCAGAAAAAAAATGCGTCTGGTAAATACTTGACCACAGCGCTTGTGAACGGTCAACAGACCTCGGTGCTACCTCGTCAAACTTCTTCGTCCCCTCCGAGCGGCAATCAGCGATAAGTGACGCTTAGGACAAAAGGAACAACACATCGCATTGAGTTTCAAGCATGGAAACACAAGGAGAGACCGCATGCTAAAATCAAGCCTCTCGGAGCAAAGAAAACCCACTGAACGATAAGCTGAAAACCGAATGCATTGCCAAGAAACGCGATCCAGACAGCCCACACCGAACGACTGCTTGCGATCGACCAATATGGCACCGAAATCTCCTTGCGATGCCTCCGTTTTGCTGCAGAAAATCGTAGCTTGAAACTGCTTACAAAACAGAACCCATCTTTTTTTGGTGGATGGAGCGCAATATGCTGCTGCGGCAGCAAGCATCCAGTGTTTCAGTACTCGTCCTTGGAATGCCAGCCCTCTCACGGCGAACTACTGACTCGTTCCATTTGTGATTTGAGATCTGCTTCGTATGAGTGTGACTGAGCTTACGCTGTTCTTCAGTAATTTCGAGACAATGAAATCACTGACAACTCTGTTGGCAAACCGCTGTTGCTGTATTAGTGGAAGCTGTCCGCTGTTCCAATTAGTGCTACTTGCGATCCTTGCCTCGTATATGTTGAAGGGCGATTTTATTTTTATACTTACGCAAATGCGGAAACGCAAACTTTTCCCTTTCTCCGTTATGTATTTTTGTAGTTACATGCTGGTCACGCCACATTCATAACAATGGAAATCAAAAAGCTTGAAATTTTACGGAAATTTTGGGCGCTGAGCTTATAAGAGTGCCAGTAACAGCACCAATATCAATTACTAACAGTGCCAATATCAAGCATTTAATTCCACTGGATCTCCGGCTACATCTTAGGTAATTTTTAACTACATTAGCGTATTCGACATCGTTCCTCACACATCGCTTCAGGTACACCTTGCTCAGCAGACTAGTGGGAAGGGTGATTTATATACTATCACTCGACCACTCCAAGTGTCACGGTTCTTCACGAAAAGTGATGAAATTTTGAAAATATTTCAATACTTTATCCCTGAAAGGTTTTCTTCAAGAAAAACGGTTTACCTCCCTCAGTGATGAGAAGGAGCTCGCTGCTAGAGATGCACGGATGTTTGCTAGGAGAATTTCGATAAAAGCCAAGAAATGCAAGCGCAAGAGTGGCGGAAATGAGTGCATGCGTGTAGAATGCCGAAGGCCAGCCGGACGTGACACACAAGTGAGCTGCAAGTGGCATCGTGAAGATCTGCGACAACTGGCCACAAGACGACAGCATTGTTACAAAATTCCCTGAAGCACTGCAGAATATTAATACGCGTGGCAGAAAGGGCGACAGAATCACGGAGTACCGTCATTCTGGGTACCACTGACCAAAACGGCATCGCTCTCAAAGTCTGTACGCTGATCAGCTGGTCCCCGGTGCAGTCTGCTGCCAACAATCCTGACAACTATTATGTTTGCTACCAAAAACCTATAAATAATAAAATGACTTCTTCCACTAGTAAATCCAGAAAAAAGTCCGTGCTCTTTGTGAGGGATTCTCAAAAAAAAGCGCTTTATGCTTCCTCCTCCGATGCCTTCAACTCTGAGCCCACTAAAAGTAAGAACAACTAAAGACAGCCATTGTCCCTGCCAATTTCAGGCTGAGAGAGATTTCCACCGCCAATTCCATCCGTTCCTGTTTCTGCGACGTGCGATCTCAGTTGCTACCTCTCACAAAGTGGTACAAAAAACAGGAAAGAGAGACTGCGCCGCGGGATACTCAAACTGAACCTCCTTGCCTGCACCAGTCTCCGAATAAAAATTCCTCATTTTTGCCAGCTACTGTTTCATTTTAACTTTGCCGGATAAACAAGACTGCATTTTTATGCGTTTTTACATATATGCAAATGCGAAAACGC